CTATCAAACTAACAATCTGCCCCAGCAGATGAGCAATGACTATTTATAGACTTGCCTTTTGGTGAGTGTGGAATTTTAATTGTATTTGTTCCTGCAAATGTCTGCTTAACAACACTTTAATGTTGGCTGAAAGAAAATTGTCTATAATTATCTCCTCTTACATTTTAGAGAAACTCCTCCATATCAGGCAAGTTTCACAGGTTGGGAAGTAGGACCTTGAAACTGATTTTTTTTTTAAATTATTAGATTAGAAAGATAAATGGAATATAACATAATCAAGAGCAGGAAAGTGTCCCCCGTTTTGGGGTTGATTCAAAAGTCAATTTTTTTGTTTCATCTTGTAAGAGAGTCTCAGTCACTGGTCTTCACAGTATGCCCTCCAAAATCACCTTCTTTAGCTCCTCTGATTGCACCAAAGCCTTTTGGATTTCATTATTTTAATAGTGCTGGAGGGAAAATACTGATGGAAACAGCTTTCCTCCCTCGTCGCTGCCAGTAAGCCACTTAAAACCCAAAACGGTGGTTTGTGAAAGTTCTTTGTTGTTGGACACCTTCACAGTACATGAGATTTAATTAGATGATTGTACGGCAATCTGCAGTGGAGATGGCAGCTATTTAATCCTTTATTAAGTTATGTTTTTTATGAATATTGCATAGAAACAATAAATGTTTGGGTAATCTCTTTGTAGGAATTCTTCCGTTTTAACTGCACTCATCTGATACAAACCAAAACCATTATGGCTTTTGTCTCTTTTAAACCGAGTTAACAATTTATCATTGTATGAATTGCAAAATTGTATTTGTTCCCTACAAGCTAGAATGCAATAACTACATACATATCTACATGAGGAACACTGCCAGAAATGTCTTCTCTTTCTGCTTTTGCAAAAAGATCCCACTGTGTTTTATGCTGAGGGAATAGTTCTTGATAAAAGAATCACTACTGGTGGAGCATTCCTACCAGTGGTCAAAGTCTTTAAAGTACCAGTAATTCACTGAGATCTACTTGACTCAGTCTGTACTGACGTACATTGTAGATGTTCTGTGTCAGCTAAATATGCCAAGAAAATAACAGATAATAGTATAAGTAAGAGACTGACTAGATGTGCTTTCACAGATAAATGTCAGCGTTGAACATTTATCTGGCAATAATGAATTAGTCCCTTGTTGGACATGATCACCTTTTCACAGTGTAGGGTTTTAATTTTTAATACATTGATACACGTTTTTTATCGAATAATTAATTCGATAAAAAACATTGAATTAATTGAAAATAACATTTTTAAGTTTTGTCATCAAAACTTAAAAATGTGGTGTTCCTCTTGTTTGTTTTGCTTTAAACGTAGCTCCGGTTGAGCTTGTCGTGGCTTTTTGCCACTCTTCCATTAAGATGTGGACTGCATGTCCTTTAGTTTTACCACCTGAGCAGTGGTGCTTAGCAGCTTCTCCAGAGAATCTGTTTTCAAGTGGGCGCCCATGTTTTGGTATTCTCATGCCACACTATTTTTAGATAAGTGTCCTCTGAGATCTTCAAAGCGAGGAGAGTTGTTTGGTATTCTAACCTTTTCACAGCTACATCCTGAACTGTCTGATTTGTTTTTTATTCTTCATGCTGTTTGTTCTCCAGGATTCAGGTACAAAAAGGTGGACTCTATTCACTTCTCAAGCGTCTCCTGAAGGCAATTGCATTTAGCAATGTTGAGCACAAAAACAAGCCACACATTTTCAGTTTTTTCTTTCATTTTTTAAGTTTGAAAACCACATATTACTTTCCGCGGCTTTAAAATTATGTGTTGCATTTTCCATCTATCCATTCATCCATTTTTTGTTCACCCTTGTCCCTTGTGGGGTCGGGAGGTTCTGGTGCCTATCTCCAGCCACGTTCATTTGTTGGTAAAATTAAAACAGAACATCTCTATGTTGTGGATGTAATACTGTGACATAGAAAAGTTAATTTTATTATGAACAGGCTTGTGAGGCACATTAAAATGTCCCACATCATTAGTTGTAATTTTAGTTAAGTGGTCTGCTGATGTCATACATCATTTGTTTCAGCTGATCTGTGCTAGATACAAATTACCACTCCTCACTTGCTCCAATAGCAAAAAAAATTATATTTCAGATTTGTTCTGCCATTCAGTGAAAATCAGACTTCAGGTAATGATTGAACTTTTATTTAACATTCATTTCTGTTATATTTGACATTTCTCTTCTGCAAATACTCTTTAACGCTCTCTTGATGTCAACTCACTGGCACACATATAACCTCTACATGTCATCCGTGTTGCAGCCATTACAACTAATGTGCCGCTGACATGACAGAGCATTTATTACAACTAAAGCACAGCCATGGCCTCAATTACAGCAATGGCATCTCGTGGAAATAGCCATAATCACAGCTATAGTCCGTCTCCAACAGCAACAGCAGCAGTCTGCAAAAAAACTGGCAATTTGAGGGGAGTGCAATGGCACAAAGAAAATATTCCTCTGTAAACCTTCCTTGCATCCAACACAATTTTTTGTCGCTCAGCAGAAGCTTCTATGCGCAGAGGCTTGATTGAAAATGAAAAGTTGCTTCTTTTGAAGACATGAAGCATGGTTATTATCTCAAAGCTTTCTATGCACAATAAACATTAATTATACTTTTCAACAAACTCATGAGGTTCACAAAGAACAATGACAACATTTAGAGAACATTGTAGAAATTCATTTCCGCTGAACAGGCTAAATATAAACAAATAAAGTTACTCTCGCTCCATAGAAGAATAAAGGATTCCCCTCCCCCCCATCTTCTCCTATGGTATAAAAGGTGAAGCACCCAGAGGATTTTTCTGTTTTCAAGAGTGAGAAAGAGAAACGTGGGGGAAGTTGTGTTCCTGTCTGACAGACTCCTTTCATGCATGCGAGATGATGGTTTTTCCTCTGTGCCAACACCTAGCCTTTTTTTGTGTGCCAGTGGATGAAGTTTTTTTGGAAGATGCAGTTCCACAACCTACACATCTTTCCTTTCCAGAGTGTTCTCTCTTACCTCCGAGCCCTCCAGCAGTTCAACCTGCCCGCTCTTTCCTCCCACTGTGACTCCTCTGTCATCTCAAGCCCCATGCTGGCCTCTCATGGAATATTTTACGACACAGATGTACACGACACTGGTGCTCACAGGTCATGCAGCCTTTTGCTGTTGTGCCTTGTTGCTGGTTTTTCCTTTTTCAACCTTCAGGCTCAGAAACACAACTGGACATTTAATTGTGGAACTCAGAAACTTAGATATGTCCTTTTAATTATGTGCCAGTGGATGATTTAGCACCCTTGAATAACAGAGGAAAAGTCAATTAGAGGTGAAAAACTGCCTGTATTTCATCCACAGGGATAGGCTATTCAGTGAAAATTCATTCAACTGAGAAAAGTAATTTTGACAAACATGATTTTTTGAATATAGGACACAAATTGGGTATTTGTCAATAGTATGACAACTACTGCCATACCATTGCAATCCATTTATATACATTTTTCTTGACCATGAATGTTATGTTTTCAGTTTTGGATTTGACCTGTTCTTTTTCAGGGAGGAATGATGATACAACATACATCTTCAATAAATTAAACAAAAGCAAATGGATTCATACATTTGAATTCATGTCTATATACTGACCTGGTTTTCAGTTCAGTCCACAAATTTTCACTATAGTTGAAGTCAAAGCTTTCCAAATATTCAAAGTTAGCCAACTTTATCTATTTCAAAACCAGTTTTGATGCATGTTTGGTGTAAAGGTCTTTTGAGAATTCTCAAAGATCTAGCTGTTGATTTTATTTGAAGGTAAAAAAAAATGTACAGGATGTCCTACTTCTTTATTAATTTATCCATTTTGTAAAACATACCAGTACCTCTGGTTACGACTCAGCGCCACATGAAGATGCTGCCATCACCAGACTTCACAGTTGCCTCAAAGTTCTTGAGTTTGCAACGCTACTTTGAATTCTTTTTGATGAAAAATATGTTATTTACCAAGAACCTTGGTGCCTCAAATTACCTTTTGCTCACAAAACAGGAACCATCCGGTTGTTAAGTGAATAAGCAAAGTCTTTCTGTCTCACCCGAACACAAAGCTTTTCTCAGTTTTCTCAGTTGAATTTCACTAATTTGAAGTGGATGCTTCTTTAAGTGAAGAGCTCATTTATCTGCAGACAGAGCTGCTGTTGGTGTTCCAGCAGAGCCCTGTTTATGATGGACTTAAGCCGTGGTGATTTCTGTTTCTGATCCATCAAACCACTTGCATTCATTTAAATAATTATGTGAGTCAGATGGTTGAATGTTGGACTCAACGTGACATGATTCTGAACTAGACCCATGTCACAAATGTATTGACAACTACAAATAGCTTGTGGTTCAGGTGCAAAATGGTCCTGAGCCACATGTATTAATTATCTATGTATTTGAGCCTACATGTGTAATTTGGAGTATTTGTGGAGTAGAGATAATTATCGACCAGATGTGCATCCAATTCTTTTGGCTAAACTTCATGAAGGCTGTTTGTTGTATAATTATTCCATCCAGAAAAAAAGTGGTCTAATTAAAGTATTAAAGTCCTAAATTTAAAATATATACATTTCCAACCATATTGTATGTAAGCCACTTACAAATTTTTGATCTGAGCAAACTTTTAATATGTCCCCATTAACGTAAGATGTCTGCTTTGCATAAAGTTTGACAAAAGGTTAAAACTTAATAAACTTAGTTTGAGAAGTTAATTACCTCCTAAATGCTTCAGCTGAGTCATTGTCTGCTTTTTCATGTGTGTGCAGTTGCAGCACTTTGTGTGCAGCAGAGGGGTTGTGTGTTCAAATTGGACATGACTCATCACTCCTGCCTCACAAATCAAGAAGCATTAGATCACATATTGTCTGTCTTCATGTGTGTGACTCAGCAACTAGCAGCTAACAGTGTTTACCCACACCTGCACCCTCTTGTGTTCTGACTTCACCCCATCTCTCTTTTCTCTCAGGGTGGAGGAGAGCTTCAAGACTCTGTTCTGGTCTATCTTTGGGCTGTCTGAAGTGATCTCTGTGGTGCTGAAATACGACCACAAGTTCATAGAGAACATCGGCTATGTGCTTTACGGAGTCTATAACGTCACCATGGTGGTGGTTCTCCTCAACATGCTCATTGCCATGATCAACAGCTCGTACCAGGAGATTGAGGTATGGAGCGGCTCAATAGAAAAGAGGGCAGAATGTTGTCAACAAGTCAATAAGGATCATCTGGTATCAGTGACGTGTCTACAAGAGGATTAGACTGCGACTTAAAAAATGCCATCAGCTATTGAAAATCAATCAAACAACATAAGACTCCGTCAAAGACAGAAAAAATTCAAAGATTTTTTTTCCCCTCAAAGTTATAAAACACAGACTTGTTGTCAACAGGCAGACGTTGGGCTGTCTGCCACCGTAGCACTGTCCTCTAGAAGTCAAAGTGCTCAAGAAAGTCATAGCTATTTGTTATTCCTGTCTCTCCTGTCATCATCCATCAGCAGACTCACCCTGCGTCTGTGTTTGCTTGTCCCCGTAGGAGGATGCAGACGTGGAGTGGAAGTTTGCCCGCGCCAAGCTGTGGCTGTCCTACTTTGACGAGGGTCGGACCCTGCCTGCCCCGTTTAATTTGGTTCCCAGCCCCAAATCCTTCTACTACTTGGTCCTTCGCATCAAGTCTTGCCTGATACGCCTCTGCAAAGCCAATGGCCGCCGCCACAACAATGAGGTGGAGATGGGCATGCTCCACACACAGACCAAGGTCAAAATTTAGCATTTTCTACTTACAGTGTCTTGCAAAAGCGTGCCTTGAATGTCAATAAAACTTTCATATATTTTGTCATGTTAGACCAGAAACTTCAAAGTATTTTGTATTAGGATTTTATAGATAAACCTTTACAAGGCATGATGATATAATACTGGAGCAGAAAGAAATTATACATGGTTTTCTATGTTCTATTTCTACTAGTGAATATTTGAAAAATGTGGTGTGTGTCTGTGTGTAAGCTGAATCAACACTTCGAAGTAGAAGTGCATTTTGCAGAAACTCCAGCTGCATGTGTTTTGGGTTTCGTGTGTATCAGCTTTGCACATCTAGATTGAAGTGTGAGCCTGTTGTTTGCAAAGTAGCTCTCGCTCCATCAGATTGGATGCAGAGATTTTTTTCTTTCCTTTCAAGCCATAATACAGATTCCCTCTAGAATTTCGCTCTGAACTTTGACTGCTTGAATGTCCTTTTATTTAAATCATCCATTGTAGGTCTGGCTGCATGTTTAGTGTCATTTTCCTACTGAAGGAAAATCCCTTTTTTCATAAGTTTTGTCCTGGCCTTGCTCTGCATTTATCATAGTTTATCTTTCAGTTTACTCTTTACAGCTTTCTAGGTCATACATGCCACATTTTCCAGATCTATATTTGTTTTATTTATTTAGATGTCCTTTATATTGCTGTATATATCTTGACCATCTTTGTGTTTCTTGGAGTTGATCTATCTCATATTTCAAGTTTTAAAAACAACTCATTGAAATTTATGGTTGTAACTTGGCAAAATATGAAAAAGTTCAAAGTCTTTAAGTACTTTTTAAATACGTTTTTCATATAAAATGAGGTTTGTGATCCCTCCAGTAATGTTTTCCTCTGCGTCTTTCATCTAAAGTCATTTTATTTCTACCTCTTGAATCAATGTTGCAGGAGATTATTAACTTAAAAGCAGCTTATTCTTTTGTCTTCTTTTTCAATATCATTTCCAGACAGTTTAATCTCCATTTTATTCTCTAGTCAAACAAAACATGCTGCAGTGACTCTCTAATTATATACTAATTTGCGCATTTACTGTACTAAATACTTCCTGTCAAATTAACATTTTCTGATTTCCAACGTAGCTCTATATAACTGCCATAATTACACTGAGGGAGAATGACAGATGCACAAACAACAACAAAAATCCTCATTGTTTTCTTTATATAATTAGACATCTGTCTGTGTTGGTTGGTTGTTTTTGAAAGTATAATCTGTATATTTAGGAAACATGCAGATTTAAGTGGAGCATCCCTCTATGTCAAATCTCTATAATAGAAAGAAAGTTTTGTTTTTTAATTGGAAACACCAGAGAACATTTAACAAGGCATCAAACATAGCGCGAGCCACCAGCCGCAGACATTTCCTCCGCCGGGCTGCTCGGCTGGAATGGCTCACCTCACCGGAGCTATTAGTCAGCCCATTGCTTCTGCCTGCGTTTGCTAATGCCGGGGCAGATTTCGGATAGGGACAAGATAGGCTTCACCCTGCTGCCTCTGTGAGTGTTTAAAACCTTCTGCAGACCTGACAGTTTAACCGAGGCAGAAGGCAGGAAGGTGCAGGAATCGATCAATGGATAAGCCCACATTAATCCACTGGAAAGCATTGAGGATGTCAAGCGAGATTTAGGAGTGATGGGTGGTCTGTCTGAACCACCGATTCTTTTCTTCTCTCTTTCAGTGCTTTCATTATGATATTAGGATGGATATGGGCATTAAACTAATAAAAATGTTTTAGGAAAAGCAGCTGTGCCAACTGATTCCTTTAAAACTATGTGTGAAAGTCAGTGATTTGATGTGATTATATTGTGTTGGTATTTGGCTGGTAACTGCCAGCCTGGACTTTATGTGAATCTTAGTTAAACAGAGTCAGGAGAGCCCAGCAAATCAAGCTTTTAATGTTGACTAAGAACTGCAGGAAATATATTTTAATATTGCCAGTTGGCTTTGGGGAGACTTCTGATTAGAAGATGCCTTCTCAGCATTCACATAAAACTGGAAATTTCTGTCTCATCTGGATGTAGCTGCAGCAATGTGGGGAATAGACAAATAAAATGGCTATCTGAGCCACTGGCTTCTGTTCCTCTGCAGAAATACTTCTCTTAAAAATCATTTTTAAAAGTTCCTGTAGTTAATAAATAATATACTCTTCATAAACTCTTTATAAAGTTGCACAATATATTTTCTGTCTCTCTCTCAATTTCAGACGCTTTGTTTTTTTAGGTTGATGAAATTATCAAAATGGATAGTTAATTATTTATTTAAACTGTACTTTTTCCAGGGTGGGACAGTCATAAAACAGTCAACTTCTTTGATTTTTAGCAGCATCTAATCTCATGGGAGTTTCACAAATCCACAAGTTCTCATTCATAATGTGTGAATAAAGTTGCAGAGAAACCAAACGCTTTTACTGACATTTTGAACAGAAATGGTTGAGCTCATTTAACTGGATTGTTTTATTTGTCCCAGTGAACTAAGCCTGTGTCACTGCACCTCTCAGTTCCTGTTTAACATAAAGAGGGAGTGAATGGGCACTGGGCCAAGAAAGACACACTTAGTACAAAATCAGCACCTTCTGAAATTTGTTGCTTCCTACATGGACCAGCCAAATTAATGTTGGAAAAACATTATTATCAGAGGAAGTAATGAAGAAAAGGACCAGAAGTATGTCTGAATGAGTCAGGGTGAGGCTTTAAATACCATGTTTTGTTTGCAAATTCTGATCCAGATGGAAAATCACAAGAACATAGAATTAGTTTTTGAATGAACTCTGGGGAAAAAGAAAAATTTGTGACATTCAAGTGAGACTTTTTATAAATTTATTTATTTAGTGATCTTACTTTCTTGCTGATGAAGCCTTATCGGTGGAGAGTTGACAAGAGATCTCCGGATGGGAGCAGAGACAATAAAACAGAGTAGGTGGTCGGTACAGTTGTCATTGTTTGCTTTGTGGCTTGGAGGGATGGTGAGTGGCGTGGCAGACTGAGGGTGGACAGGTAGCTGGGACTGTTTTCTCTCTCACTTGGTTTTTGGCAGCTCAACAGTGAAATGGGTGACAGATGCAGATAAGCTAGTCCAGCAGTTCTTCTCATGAAGTTAAGCTCAAGCTAGGTAGACATGTAATGGCGATGTCTGGTTTGAGACCACAGAGTACTGAGATCACACAGGCAGGAACTCAAAGACAGTGGCAGGGTTTCTCCAAAGGTGCACAGAAACAGTGCAGGTTAGTGACAGTCAAGGCAAACTTGGAAATACAAGAAGGTTGGATTTCTGCAGCCATAAATAAAAATTAGGTGGAAGGATTAAGAACATATGATGGAAGAAGAAAAAAAAAAAACATTTGAAAAATATGCCAGGACCTCGTTGATGGCTACAAACCTTTGTCTTCTCTGCAACTCGAAAAGTCACATTTAACCCAATTTTAGTTGCGATTAATATTGAATTTGTAATCCAAAATAAATTAGATTGTTATTTTTTTTATCTTCTTCTTGAAATAGTTGATACATTTTAAGGTCAGAATTAATGATACGCAGCCAATGATAAATGCATAGACATCTGCGACCAGAACCCAAATGGTTCATTTGTTTAAATGTTTTCAGACAGACAGACAGAGTGTCATCTGTCATATTGTATTTCTCATTGCATTGCGTTATATAAATATTGAAAATATTTACATAGCGACCCATGTAATTGCTTAAAGATTGTATGCTGCTCTCTTATAATGTGGTTTTGGTTGAAAGGAAAAATAAAGTTACAAATAAGTTATAATCATGGCTTCAAAAGTGCATTTTTTTCTTGATTTTAAATCTGAAGAATGGTTAAATGTTGTCAATATAAGTTTGTAAATTTACCTTTCTGGCTTTTTGACATTTCACGTTAATCAGATCTAATATTAATAGATTTTAATGCTCTGTGAATTTAATGCTTTCAGTGTAATAATAGGTGATTTTGTCTGTCCACACTAGAGGTGAAAGTCTTTCTCACACTTATACAACATGAGTTGATTTCAGATAAAGCAGCGTTGCTGATTCTCTCATGAATACTGAACACTGTTATTTGTTTAGTTTTTAGTTCGCCGCCTTCTTCAACATCCTTCACAAGTACTTCAATTATTCTGAAGTGTGTCTACTTCTTGCTGTTGCAGGATGAACGGTTTAGGTCTTACGCGCGATCAGGAGAGGAGTTCATCCAGAGAAAAGCTCGAAAACACCCGACCAGATATCAGGTAAGAGATTGACAGAACTGAATGCAGATGACAACATTTAGGGTGGAGTGAAGATGAGACGGAAGGGAATTGGAAATCAGATTGAGTCTGGAGGAAGAATGAAATGTGAGACAAACTGGCAGAGGAATATGCAGCAGAGAGAAATCAAAGAACTGCAGATGCACAGATTGAGGTTGGTTGGACGGACGCTGATGGCAGGATCAGAGGAAGGAAGGAAAGAAAAGGTGCGGTAGAGGAGAAGAGGTGTAAGTGAGACAAAACCAAGCAACAGTAATAAAGAAATGTAGCGAGTTTGAAATGAAAAGGAACTTGTACAAAGAGAGAGAGAGAAGAATGAACATGGCTGAAAGTTCCTCTAATGAGATCTTTGAGAGTAACAGAGATCAAGACACTCTGTGCATCAACTCAAACTACATTATTTTACTAAGTAGAAGTCAAAACCTATTTTTACTCTGCTGTGAGGAAAATCCTCACAGGTCACCTGGATTTTTTTTTTTCTGAAAATATTCTAGTTTTGTACATTTTTAAGGATATCTATTGCACACACACCAACAGCTCAACACACACAACAGTGAATTGACACCTAATTAAACATATGTAAGTACTCTGTTTGGATGGTGGCAGCTATCGACCCGTAACCAGAGTGCCTACATTCAGAGACAGACTGCCTCAGGCTCAGCAGCAGCAACTGGTCACAAATCAATACTCAATATTCTACACACTGTCTGAGAGACCGAGTGAAACTCTGTACCACAATTAGCGTTGTTTTCTTTTTGTCTCGAGAACGATTTGAGTTTTCTGTCTTCATAAATACAGAATGAGTTGTCATCTGTCGCTGCTGCGTCCTTTGTCTTGAATCTTCACCTTTCTCTTTCCTCACTGCAGAAGATCATGAAGCGGCTCATTAAACGTTATGTGCTGAAAGCTCAAGTGGACAAAGAAAGCGATGAAGTGAATGAGGGTAAGAATCGCTTTTTCAATTCAGCACACTTCAGTTGCACCATTATCAGCTCATAATGGTATGAGTGCAGAAATGTGTGCAGGAATTGATCAGTGAGTTTCGATGCACATCTGCAGATCCTTGAGTTTAATGTGTTGGGTTTTTTTTCTGCATCAGGCTGCATGTAATCATAAATAAAAATGTTGGTTGGAGTAGTTAGCTAATCCATATAACACAACAGACTCACTTTTATAACTCTTTGATATCCAAGTAGTTTTCTCATTGTCTTTGACATTCTCCAGCTGGGTTTGAAGAATCTTCTGACTACATGAGGTTTATTTGAACTTGTTGGAAAGCCAAAAAAACCACATGTCATCATACCTCTGTGGTATAAAACATGTAAGCTAATAACAATAACATACAAGACACTGTTTTACCACAATGAGAGTCTCTTAAACCAGGAATCTGAATCTGCATCACTGAATCAAAAGACAATTCGTTGCTGTTTGTGCTCCAACGTCAGCATTATTTGGCACCAAACTCAGGATTTTATTGTCTATTTCTGAGATTACTTGGAGAAGAAAGGATCATAAAATGGAGTCGACTTGGACTCACGTACCGCTGTCTCTTCGCTCCGTATCTTATCACTACATCTCACCTGGTCATTGACCTTGTCTTATCTTTGAATCATCAAAAGTAGATATGCAGGAGCGCTTTTGATCTTTGAGTGAAAATATAACCTGAATGGGGTCATCTTTACAGCAGCCATTCGCTCAAAAGAATGCTGTTTATTTTTAGTTTTCAGTTTCAACTATGTTGCTTTCTGTTTTGTCAACAAATTAAACTTATGCTTAAATTTTGTGAAAATATGAACATTCTCATGAATGACTTTAATTGTCAAATTGTCATCACTGTAACAATATGTGCAGCGCCACAAATGCAAAAGAAAGTTTTTGAGTAATATTGAGCTTTATCCGTAGCTCATGGGTACACTGTGATGACAAAAGCAGAAGGAAAGAGTGGAGAAAATGTGACTATACTGCAACTGTTATCATCACTGCAGAATTCAGTAATTTCACAAATTTCCCTTATAATAAGACGCACATCACCTTGGCCAGATTGGTTTTCCTTCAGGTTTGAACTGGTAGCGTTCTGGTCTCCAAACTAATGACTCCCAGTGTTAAAATGTTTTCACTTCCTTCTCTTTGTAGAAAAAAATCTTAATAGAAATCTTCATCATGGGAGCTTACCTTCATTTGTCCATAAAGGAAATCAATACAAGGCACCAATTGTTCGCTACCATTTCTCCAGTACTGGATGATTTCCATTCTAGGTTTCCTCAGTTAAACGTGAGGATAACAAAAGCATTATTCTTTTGATATCCCTAAAGCATTCCCCAAAGAAGAATAGCATTCTTCTCTTCTTAAGCATAGAGGAATGCTTAAGACAGTGTTGTCAAGACAAAGTTGCATGAAATATATTCAAAGTCTTAGAGAAAAAAGGCTTCTCCAATTGCTTCACAATTTCAGAAACTTTAGGGTTCAGTGAAACGCCGAGCTGAACCTTATCTGTCCAAGCAATGCAGGACTGGCTTCAGGATTATTTATCAATTTCTCAGCGTGCCTCGTGAGGAAAGCCTGAGATCTGAGAGTGGTGCTACACTAACATTCAGGTGGATTTAGGATAAAACTAGGCACTGTCATATTGGCAAAAAGTGGATGTTAACTGGGAATTTTGAAAAATAGACTCATATTTTTTGTCCCCTGACACTAAAGGTGTTCAAATTGATCAAATTTTTTTCTAAAATATGGTACTGCGTTAAACAACAAAGTTATTTCAAGGTTTTTTACACATATGAATGCGTCCACATCTGTAAATAAAATATTTCTGACAAAATTATCCTCCTCCTCTTATACTGTATCATAGCAGAGATTTAAACTAAATGTCAAAAACTGACCCCAGTTCATGCCTAAATTTGTTCCCATCCTGATTGGTGTTTGTTCACTTCGTCCTTTCTTTTCTGTGTGTGTGTTGCAGGCGAGCTGAAGGAGATCAAGCAAGACATTTCCAGCCTCCGCTATGAGCTGCTGGAGGAGAAGTCCCAGGCCGCTGGGGAGCTGGCTCTGCTCATCCAGGAACTTGGCGACAAGTTTGGCAAAAACACCATGAGACACTGACAGGCCTTGCACAACGGGGAGGGAGGAAGGAGGAGAAGGTTTGGCGTAGAAAGCAGATTCGGGCCAGGTAGTTCATGACCTCAGTGGGAAGACAAGAGACAATGGAGAGGCAGGATGTTTATGTGAATGGACAGGATGAACGAAGAATAGTTAACAGCTTAAAATATCGAAACTGTGCCGAGTTAAAATGAGCTAGCTTTAGATAAAAACCCAAGTGCTTTCAACGCAAAATGACCAATTAGAGAAGACTTATAAAACCGCAACTGAACGTGAGGTTAGGAAAATAAACTCACTTGGAAGGACTTTGTGTTGTCAGCTCAATTCTAATTAAAGGGAAAGATAGAGATGAGTAAGAAGGGGAAGACAAGTGTGAGGAGATATGAAGAGACACCATGGGCATCAACAGCGATGCAGTGCAGCAATGAGGGCCCCACACCCACTGCCAGAAGATATCAGTGTGTCAGCTTATCACCAATTTAGAAGAGAGAGGTGAAACTCAGCCATGGGAAGACACTGGAACAGCAAGAGGAAACTCCAAGTGCTACTCACAGCAGAGACGCCTGCTACGTTCCATATTTTTAATTTGTCAGATGAAGTGCTCCTGCTGGTTGAGATAATGCACACACCTTCATACACAAGGCTATCTAATTAATGCAGATCTAATTCACAACCTGTGATACAAGTCGGAGGCAGTAAAGTGGATTCATTGCACTGATGTTCAACTCTTTACAGAAATAGTTTGAAAAGTAAGATGTTGTCTTTGTGTCTCTTAGAAAGAAATGAATGGAAGGTCCCAAACACAACCAGTTAATTAAGTGATAAATGCACTAGGTCAGCATGAAAAGATAGTATGGTTATTTCAACTCAGCTGTAGACATTTTGCAAATAAAAGAAAATGTGCATCTCTTATGCACCCTGGAAAATAGGAATTGAACAACGTCAACATTATTCACAGTGGATGTTTTTCTGCTATTGGCCTAAAGTTCACATTGTAAAAAGCAACCAAAGTAATCCACACATTGAAATGAAAACAAACTGTCTTTAAAACTCAATTGTTCTTAGATTTTTTTTCCATGCAGTCTAATCTTCAATTGCTTACGTAAATTATCGGATAAACTTTTTGTCATTTTGTTGATTCCATTTTGTTGATTTTTTTTTTTTCTGAAACCAACTGAGAATTTCTTTAACTCTGTTTGTGTGTTTGGGATTGTCTTGGTAAAACAGAAAATCCACCGTTGTTTTAAATTCAGGTTCTTATCCAACATGATTTTGGTGTCTTATCGCCACACTATATTCTTTCACTGTTTCTTTGAGTTGGCCAAATGTTCAGCTGCAAACATTAACAGTCACCATGCTGTTCTTTCAGCAGTGGAGTCTTGTGCAGTGAATGTGCATAGCAACTCTCTGTGAGCGGTCCCTGGCTCTAATTTTTTCTTTTCACGCACCTGCCTGAAATTTTTAAAAGAGCAACCAGTTATGAATGATTTATGGTGAAATTATTCTCTTACTTATTCAAAAGTTTATCAATACATCTATAACCGGTTTCATAAGCATGTTTAGCAACACCAAAGATGAAGAGTTCTATTCTTCATGTGATACTTTGATGATAAAATATATCTTCAGAGCTTTGAAATAGCTAATATCAATTAGCACTGACAGGAGAAGTGATTACTTTGTAAATACAAACACTTTCTTTGCTCTTTGATTCAGTTTTGTTCCTTTCAAAATCGTTTTGATTTCAAAATATGTAGAGACTGCTTGAGTTGTTGCCAACATTTGATATTAATTTAATGTAAGTAAATCACTTGAAAATATAGCTACTGAGAAAAATGTTAACGTGTTCAATACTTACTTTTCTCTTCTACGTTTCCTGAAACTTACATGACCCATTTTCAGAATATTTTCCGAAATGTCAAAACACATTGATAGAGTTGTGTTTACAGCTGTAAAATCCAGGAGTCAATTTTTTTCAGGTGAAGCAGTGCATTTGGGAGATGAGGAAAACCTTGCGATGTGGGACTTTATTTTCACATGCATTGATTTGGCTATAAAGGTGAGATTCTTTTTCAGAAGCTGCATGGAGTCATTTTCTGGTCTATTTTTTCCTGTCCCTTGAGACTCTGCTGCACAGGGTTGAGACATGAGCAGTAACAGTCTGCAGGCAACAACTGAATTTTAGCTTTTTTGATTCTAAAGTAGTTGTTTAGTTTTGCAGAGTAAACACTTAGACTTTACCATAAAAAAATATTGGCATGTGGTGCCTAAGCAGCTTGAAGAAATTATCATATTTTCATATTTTCTGAATTATGGTCTGCTCACAATTTTTTTTAAAATGTCATTGACTATATCATATTAATTGCTGACAGGATACATTTGTGTGTTGATAAAGCTTTGTGTAGAGACAACAATTTGACTAGCAGCAACTAAAATCTGCACTGTTATAGCACGAGGCGTTCATGCAAAGAAAAACAATATTTGTCATATTTGTATCTGATGCGCTCAGATTGTCATTAAATAAAAAACCCAAGCAGACTTGCACCACTTTTCCAATAATCCGGGGGTGACTGAACACTGGAATGTTATGTCTGAATGAGCACCCCGCTGCTTTGGGTAAATCAAAATGAGACATTAATCTCTCTGGATCAGATGTAATAATATTTATCTAACACTTTCACCATGGCACAAGTTTCAACCTTTTTCCAATGATATTTCTTTACCCTTCGTATAGCACTTCCTACAGTTTACGACAATGGAAAACATCTTTCTTGATTTCACATACTTTCATTAAATTGTTTATGAGAATCAATTCAGACATTTTCTCAATGGACTGAGCACATAAAAGTAAATTATTTCAGCTGCTTACATCTACATGAGTGCGCATCCTAGCAATTGTTATTTTTTATGGCCACATATTTATCTTTAATCATGTAAGAAACCAACTTAGATTATTCCTGATGAACATCAAACATTACCCTTTGCAATTACCTGAGTACAATTACCTGTTTTACTCATGAAATAACATATCAAGAATATATTTTCTAGCTTAGGAAAATGTTTATACTAACTTTAGTTTGGCCGACATGTTTTCTTAGCGAGCAAAGCTTTCTTCCTCCACATATCCCACCGAAGTTGAGTTTCTTTCTGAATTTAGAGGTATACAATTTCATATAAATAGGAGCAAAGTCAGCTTCGGACCAAAAATGTCAGGTCCTAAGCTGACATTTTAGGGTTTTTGAAGATTTCCTGTCTGCTTTCAGGATGAACTTGCTTAGATGACCCGACCTTAGTATGTTGGAAATTATTTTGAATTTCCTTCACTTATACCCTTTGTTCTTCCACAGTCAGGAGAAGACAAAAACCTTGGTTCAAAATGGCCGGACCTTAAAATGTTTCAAACATTTCCATGTGATTTGTTACAGTGTTTCACCATATTAAATATCTGTTTGTCCAAATATGTTCGGAAAACACACAGTCTGCTTGGTATCCTGTTTTTTTAATAACTTTATCTCCAAATGAAGACATTGCAACATTTATTATAAACCGAGTCAGTTCTGCAAAGTGAAGAAGCCATTATTGTTCCCTGTGTCAGCTGCTTAAAGAATCTGACTGCATTATGGAAAGAATCTCTACAGAAATAACTTTTTTCTGTTTATGTTTCACTTCTCAGTCCAGTCTCAGTCATCTCTCTTTCAGTGCCTGCGTTATTTGTCCCGTGACGCAGGTTGTGTGCTGTTTACAAAAAATAGAAGTCTCCCTGATTTTCATCTTCATCTTCTGCCTGATTAGCATTTTCAGCCGTTCCAAAATCCAACAAAAGTCGTCTAACAGAGCAGTGCAAACTGAGGTTCAGCACTTTCTTGACATAATCTTGAACCTGGGCGCCATTATTCCAATCTTTTCAGTGCAGCTCAGTCATAGCTCATGTTCTTATGCATTCCGCTGCAACTTTTTAAAAGTTCGGATGAAACACTTCCTGAGCAGTGAAGAGTCTTAAGTTCTGACAACACATGTGCAATGAGTTATTTTTAATTGGGAAAATGTAAATGTTTTCTATCCTGATTAACATTGACTGTGTATGAACGAGCTCCAGGGGCTTTTCTTCTGTAGCATCTTCCTCTTCTACAGAGTTAAACCTTTAAACCCATGACCAAAACCAGACTCAGAAGACCCAGGGTTACTTTTGCCAGTATCTGAGTATTTATTTATTTATTTTTTATCTGATCTGTCTGATTGTTATTGCATCATTTTATTTTCTACTTGCAGTAAATTAATTTGTTTCACATACACAAATGTCCTTTATTTTAGACAAGAAGGTAAAAAGTATCTTCACATAGTAATGTTATGTGTGAGAACTGCTGATTTCTCTTATAGTTTGTCTGTTTTTTTTCTTCTTCCGAATTTATAAAATCAGACAAACTATAAGATTTGGCCAAGGGAACATTTTATCATTCCTATAAAAATACTGAAATACTGTATTTTTGACTTGTATGCGAAACATACTGACCAGACTCTTGTACATGTATATTGTCATATTTTTGATCCTTGAAATAAATATGCTAAACTGGTTGGTTTGGGATTGATGCACTCTGTGTGTCTGTGCTGGTGTAGTCTAATTGTGCTTGTACCCATCATCCATTTTAAATGGATGATGGGTACTGGAGCGAAACCAGACAGGTGGTTGCAAAGTTGCTCCACGCTTCCACAAAAGAACACAAACACACTCAGAAGAACAAAACCCACAGATGATCTCAAAATCGAAATTTTAGCAGCAGGTGGATCCCACCTAGGACAAACTGTACATACTCAAATATACTGAGATGTAGTATTTATTATATGTAAAATGTGTCTTCTGTTCAACTCAATAATTTAATTTTATTGTATTCATATTATGATAGCTTGCAAAACTGAGCTAAAGGAACATTGCAAAACAGTTTCTAATATTTAATCTAATACTGTCATATTCTGGCTAATATAAATTGTAATTGTATTCAGATACTAGCTATGTTCAGTAGAACCCAGTGTCAAGAAAATAATCATTTAAACCAGCAGACTTTTACCTTTTGAGTCAGTTCTAACTATAAGCATTATCAAAAATGGACATTTTCGAATATAAACCTGTAGTTTATGAGTAAGACGCACTGCTGTAAAAATCTGAATTCTTAGTTCTCAGAAAAGATGGAGCATGGCCATTAAGAGCTTTGTACATGAAAGAACAAATAATTGCTGTCTTGCATGAAGAGAAACATTATCTTTTCATTTAATGCTTATCAGAACGCTCTGCTGTGGTTGGGTTAAACTGAAGGCTTTTTACTGAATTGCTCTGCAGGTTGTTCTTCATTTACATGCTAGGAGGTCCATTTAGTATGCAAATCATCTCCTTTAGCTGTGTTTTCAGATCAGTGGCACATGTCACATGAAATGACTTGCAGACATGTGAGGAGTAAGAGAAAAAAAGTATTGGCTTTGTAAGGTTTTGGGCCCCAAACCTGCAACCAGAACTGCTTATATGTACCTAGGAAAAAATTAAAACAATCTCTGCAATACAAGAAGAACAAAACTGATCTTTTTGTCTTTGGTGTTTCACTTATGCCGTCTTTAATCCGATGTGGGAGACAGCATTAAACCTTGCAAACTGGTAAAATTTGGAGGAATAGCTCTCTTTATATGAGTTCTTCTAAGTATTAAATAATAATTCACTTCGATGTAATCTGGCAGCATATAGATAAAAACTGCTTTGACTTGACTGATAAAATATTCAAACACAAAATTGATATCTTTTTTGTATCCCTCTGAAGTCTAGAGGGCCACATAAGAAGCTATGGTGGTCCAGATTTGGCTCCAGAGCCTTAAGTTTGAAATATGTTTTTTAATATCATTAGACTTTTGCTCCGTAGTCCAAGAATACTCCTCTTCAAATATGCAACACTGACAGCAACTCCAGTC